CATGTTCTCATGTCCCCCAATAAACTTTCTGCCACCACTGCTGTGTCTCACGTGTCTCTTTATTGAGAGTGATATCTATTTATATTTATTTAACTTGATTTATATTTGTTACATTGAGCGTGGCATTTATATAAATAAGTATCTCTGTTTGTATTTATTTAGCTGGTGACCCTTCTCCCAAACATGGCGGCCCCCTGTAGCCGCCGCCATCGCTCTCCCCAGGCCGCCGCCATGTTGTGGGCGGGAGCGCCATTAACCGGAAGCGGAAGTCGGACACTCCCCCGCTTCCGGCCGGGGTTGGGCCTAGCCGGGAGCGTCGCTCGGTGGCGGCGGCAGCGATGGTGAGGGGGGAGCCGAGGGTTTGTGAGGGGCTGGGCGGGTGTGCGGTGGGAGATGAGGGGGTTTTGAGGGGCGGGCGGGGTGTCTGTGGTGTCTGGGTGACATCCCCCGCCATTACTCCCCTCAGGACAGCGAATTCTCGGACGCGGAGGCGGCCCCGGGCGGGGAGGAGAACGCGCCGGTTTATTGCGTGTGCCGCAAGCCGGACATCAACTGCTTCATGATGTGAGGGGTGAACGGGGGGTCCTCAACTGTGTCAGGGTGTGAGGGGGAACCTGGGGGTCCCCACTTGTGTCAGGATGTGAGGGGGGAACGGGGGGGATCGGGGTCCGGAGCTGTGTCAGGGTGTGAGGGGGGAATGGGAGTTCCCAACTGTGTCAGAATGTGAGGGAGGGTCTTGAGGGGGGTCCCCAACTGTGTCAAGGTGTGAGGGGGGGTCTGGAGGTCCCCAGCTTTGTCAGGACGTGAGGGAGGGTCTTGAGGGGGGTCCCCAACTGTGTCAGGATATGAGGGGGGGGGTCTGGGGGGACCGCAGCAGATCTGAGGGGGCTGCGAGGAGGGGAGGGAACACAGGGCTGGGGGTCCCGGGTGCCTCTCAGGGTGCGAGTTTGGGGGTCCCAGGTTGTTTTTGCCCCTGGGGGGTCCTTTGAAGCGGGGAGACGGGGTGCAGGGTCCCCTCGGGGGGCTTCTGGGGGGGCTGCCCGGCTGAGGGTCTCGGTGTCTCCCCCTCCCCACAGCGGCTGCGACAACTGCAACGAGTGGTTCCATGGGGACTGCATCAACATCACGGAGCGCATGGCCAAGGCCATCCGAGAGTGGTACTGCCGGCAGTGCCGCGGTGAGGGGGGCTCCGGGGGGCTCCGGGAGGGCTTTGGGGGGCTCTGAGGGGGCCAGCTTGGAGTGGTACTGCTGGCAGTG